CATAGTTTAAGTTAAATTGCGCGTTTCGATGTCGGAGCCACGATAATTGCATCGATTTACCAATTTAGGCGGCGTTTTTCATGTTCTCTTAAAGGCCAGATGCGGTTATCAGTTTCGAAAGATATAAAAGACGAAGATCAGCCTAGCAGTTGCAGGTTGAATATTACCGCGTGGTCGTGGCTGAGAGGTTAAATGTTCGTTTGGAAACCGGATGGCCGGTGGTTCAAATCCCGTTGACAGCCTTATTTTAAACTAGAATTCGTTAAAGCCTTTAACATTTCATTATATTCTGAAGTCCTGTCAAAATTCACCATGTGGCAACTTGGTGGCATGGGAACCCCGGATCTCACGTTGCCATGCCGCTGTAGTGTGGGTCCTCTATTTATGTAAAAAAAAAAGGCCCACCATAACATTATGGCCTAATCGCATGCCTGCAGTGTTGTTCTCCGCATTAATTTTGTTCGGTTTCACAAATTATGTGACAGCACGTACATTTGAATTTATGTACGAATTCATGTACGCGTGGTGAAGAAAGACAACCAAACGGCATGAATACAAACTGTAAACAAGCTTTATTCTTGTCTCTTCACTCTTCTCTCCTTCCCTTTCCCCCTGTTGTGAAGTAGTTTAGCAGGCGAGGTGAGGACGGGTTAGGAGAGGACTCCAGCGTCTTCTTCGGTTGATTTGTTGGTGGCCACTGCAGCACAAATAAATTGCCAAGTGGAGTTCGAACATTTAGTGACAGAGGCTCGCAGAGAAGGGCGTAGCCAAGAGAGATGGGGTTTCAAACTCTTCCCGAATATTTTCAATTTTGCTTGCGTATCCTGGTGATGACATGTACAGTATAAAATCGCCCGCGTTAACATACATAAAGTACGGCTGAAGCCTATAAATTTTCTGGCTACGCCACTTACGCCCACTGTATGCGCACGTTAATGGCAGCATCGTTACTCAAGTATGAACAAGTTCTCACATTTGCATGCTTTCTATATATGTGAATGCGTATAAATGTCTGCATGCGTTTACAGATAAGAACATTTGTCTGCCTGGTAACGTTACGATCACTTCATAAGGGTGGACATAGCAAACTTTCTCGTTCGTGCTTCGCATATCAGTCATTCCCATCGTAGTGCGATTTCGACAAAATCTTTTCCTTACCTAGACAAATGCTTTAATTAACGACAGAGTCAAGCGAAACATTTCAGGAAAGTGAGCCGAAGCAGAAAGCTGTAGTTTCTTCCTTCGTGGCGAAAATTGCATTTGTATTGCACTTCTAGTTGTTGTAGAGTTAGTTTCAAACCTTTCGCAATGTGCGCCAACTAGTACAAGAAAACAAACAAATCAAACTGAACAAGAAAAGTCCGTATACATTCCCAGGATTTGGGGGCGTGTGCACGGTGGTACTATGTCACGGCGGCAGCAACGGCGTGCTGTTATAACTGAATGGGAAACAGGTAAAAAAAATTAGAAGCTTGTGGCTTCCCAAGACACCACGCTTGCAACACAGCCAATCGAAAATATATGCGCCCTGGGAAGACACGCAGTGCGTAGGCAACACTATAAATTTAACAGAATGTTTACGTGCTGTGTAGAACCGGGAGTCACTTTTGATAAGCAGCATTTTTGTCAGACATGATTCTCTTTTGGCCCCACTTCTCATTAAATAGTTACGGCAAGCCGCCGGACTAGAAATGACGCTACGTGCAATGTCCCCTAATTCTGGTGATGACAGATAGGCTGATATGGAAATGGTTTCGTCAAAACGGCGGATGTATTCACCGAGCCCACTAAATTGACTGAGAGGCTGTACAATAGCTGCGAGAATCTGAAGTAACTAGAAGGAAGGGGAACAAACGTTAATGAGTGGTAACGGCAATAATCACGCATAAGATGAATGATTCGACGATTACGGTATACAAAACTCCATCAACGGACAATGATGAAGTGAACACGGGCAAGAATAAGTGCTCTTAACGCACACCGTTAGTGTAATAGTCTGTTTTCGGTGCCGTTAGCGACTTCTTCCAGATTCACCACCTCCGCATATCGGTTTCAAAATTCACATTCAGCGGTTGTTCAAAGTATCATTCTTGTCCTAAAGTATCATTTCTTGGTCCCTTCGCCGACCCGGAGCCGAAGATCTGCAACGAGTCATTTCGCCCTTCGGGACTAACAGCCCGTCCTTTGCTGCCCGTTTGTCTTTTCCGTCGGCTCAGCAAGGCGTTTGAAAGAGACGTCCTCCTCGCGCCGTCGGGGTCACTGTGGTCATCCTCATATTCATCGCCGAAGATTCACGCGACGAATGTTTGCGGCGCTCCTACGCCAGTCGAGTTGTCATGCCACGTGTCATTGCTGTTCACCACGTGTCCAGCAAAGTGGGTGACCTCGGTTTTGTTGCCGACCAACGAAGTGTCGTTGTCAGAAGCGTCTCCGATGGCCACGTGAGGGTCCCAGAAGCCCACCTCGCCCGCTTCGATGAGTCGGTCTCTCGAGAGCGTCACCTGACGCCGATCGTCATCGCCAGGAACCAGGGCGTTCTCGTCCACGCCATTGTAGATCTCTCCAGAGGTCACCCTCGGGACTGCAGCAGAGACGGCGAAGCGGACTCCTCCTCTACGGACGACGGGTGGCCTGCCAGTTGTTGTCGGTCACGAACGTCGCCTCGGGGCTCAAGGGGCCTTTGGAGCGACATTGGAACACGGGTTTGCGCGTGGGCTTGGTTGCACCGCCTAGGCCGGAAGGTCCGCGTTCGGTTCAGGCGCCGAGTCAGCAGTGAAGGCGTCTGCGATGCATTGTGTGGCTGGTGTCGTCTCAGGACCACGACAGGCGTTCGTAACCGGCGACGCCTGGATCGCTCCGGTGAGAGACACCACTGCACAATAAGAGCAAGTGTGTGATCTGTAGTTTGGGTACCTGTTAAAGTTATAAATTTTGGCAATAAACACAACCACACAAGGCAGAAGTTCGGGGCAGGGCTGGACAGAGATACCCGAAAAAAAGTATTCCGGAATATAGATATCGAAATACACGATTTGGAAGCCGAAAATACAGATACTGAGATACATTTGTAATTGACGTAACAGGATATTTCAAACATACTTTTGCAAAAAGACGAAAAAAGTATTCCGTAATACAGATACTGAAATACTTTTCTCTATTTCGGGGATAGTCATACTGCCGTACAGACATTTGTTACGTGCAGCATAATATTTAAAATTCGCAGGGCATTGAAACTTGCAAATAAATTTATTCATTATTTTATCACCGTACTCTTAGAGCCACTAAGGCATTAAAATGGAGGCTTACACTGCACATAATTTTTAATGACAACGTATTTACAGATATGAGTTACAATAAAAAAACTATGCTGTATGAGAGCAACAGTCAAACGCACTGCACACCAAAATCGAGATACATGGCGGCAACAGTATTAGCTATGCTAGAAGTAGCTAAGTTCAAGCGAAGCGCTAGAACTTTAAATAGACGAGTTAAGAAAGGGTATGCTTCTATTCAGAGCGGTCAACGTGTGCCTATGACTAAAAAAAGAAAATAAGACTCCTGAATTCCTTTCTGCTGCTGTAATGGTGGCGCTCACTTCAATGAACTTCTATGTATGCTTAGTATACTCGGTTCAGGCTAGTTGGTTTCCAGTTTCGCTAAAGTGGTCAAGCATGAAGCAGGAGGGGAACAAATAAACAATGATGACTAGCGCTTACTTCAATTTAAGTTTTAGTGTTTCGTAGAAAATATAGAAAAATCAGAAAGAGGAAGGAACAAACAAGCATTGTGACAGGAAACGCAAAAAGACCTTCCAATCACCTTGTGGCCACACCGGCGTCTTCCATAAATACTTTAGAAAAAGAAGTATCGCTGTTGGCACACGGTACCACACACCAAATTCTTTGGATGGTTTGTGTCTTCCGCGATGAGCTCCGGTTTTTAAATGAGCGCTGCAAAAAAAAAAACTGAAAAAATAGAACAAAAGCACTGCTTGTTCAATTGGCTTGAGGGAACACATTTAGAAACAACGCTGTTGGTTGGCGCCCATCGTGCCGATACAATGCTCCTCACTATGAAAATATCGCTGCTGCAGGAATTCAAAATGGCTGAATAACACTGTTGGCAAGCTCAAACAGGCGATCATTGAAACAAATTCCACTTCTGCCTGAAGGTGCACAATGGGATGCGGGTAGCAAAGCCAGTTTCGCCCTCAGCAGAAATGTGGAAACAATGGTTGCATATCTCGCCGCGGACTGCCGACCGTCAAAGCAGAATGTTTTTTTTTTCATTGTAAACACGTCTCAGCTCATTTTCAAAAAAAAAAAAGTAACGAGATAGCCATCCCCTGGATAGTATCGCGATACGGGCAATACATCGTCTAAGTATTTCACTACTGAGATACAAATATATTTCTGGATACGATACAGATACTCGAAGATATCTCTGAAATATTATCGCGATACTCTTGTATCACGATACTACCTAGCCCTGGTTCGGCGTAAGAAGAAGGCCTCAAGTGATGCGAAGCGTTTGAACAAGAATTTTCGCTAATAATTAATGTTTTCCACAAAAGGGCTCGTCTACATCAAGGCGCTCACAAAGGCCGGTCCCATCGGCAAGACATTTATTGCACCGACGCTCTTATTTGGCGATTTATCACAGCAAAAATGTTAGTCAAGTGCAATCAAGTCCCCTCTTAAAAGCATATGATTCTTACATAAATATGGTCTCAGCTGTCGGGACAGAATACTCAAGCACGGCAAGACTATTGTCCAATCATACCATGAATGCTCATCGATTGCCATTTGGAACACTCTACCTCACGCCAAGCCAAGCCTCAGCCAAGCTTGGTTAACCTCCCTGCCTTTCCTCTCTATTTCTCTCTCTCTCTCTCTATCTCACGCAAAGCTCGGAAAGCTCTGCACTTTCTACGCTTTAGAAAATGTTGGCCGCAAGAGTTTGTGCATATATACTACAGACGAACAGGTATCCGTGTTTGCTTACAGTTGGGGACAGCGTAGTCCGAGTCGTCGAGGTCCCTCAGGACTTCTTCCTGAGCACTAGCTGAAGGGGAGGAGAAACCATAAACAATTTATTCTGTCTTGTGGCCAAGAAAAATGAAATTCATCCGCTTAGTGTGCATCAAAAATCAGACCCACCGTTACCTTTCAAGTACTCTGTGTTTCGGTTAGTCGGCGCAGCCGTCACTACTGTCCTGAAAATCAGGCAAGCCCTTTAGGACCATGAAAGGTAAACACAATATCCCGTACAAAACATCTTTCTCCAAACGTTTGCTACCATAATCAATCACACACAAGAAATCTTTCTTCCAGCTAAGCGAGACGTATGCACTTCAAGCATTTGATGGAAGTTCTCAAAGCTTTAAGCTAATATCGGTATATGCATAGGCTCTCACTTGATCGATTGCACTGATGGGGAGCAGGTTTCATGTGCATAATGACATGCAGTGATGTCCCCATGGCGGTGATGTTTTTTCGCTTGCATGGTGCTCATGAAGCCAGGAAAGACACTATGAAAAACCGTGCCGTTGCAATCTTGAAGCCCTGTCATGAAAACTGAAGGAAGGAATGTCCCTACACAGGCACGTGACAGGCAGATGCCACTGCTCGTCGGCTGGCTTTAGTTGCATCTGTTGCGGGCACTGCGCTGATTAAATTCGGCCCGAAAGACTACGCGCACTAACCTCACATGAGGGATGGTGTCAGAGCAGGTTGACTTGCCGAAGCTAGCGTAGCCATGGGACTTTCCTTTCTAGTTACTTTCCTTCCTCCATGATGGCGCTTCCCACACCTCACGTGACATCTACGCGAACGTGACGTGAAACGTCGCTTCCGTGCCTTAAAACTAAGAAAATTGGCTTGCATGCCCATAAACAGTCACCTCGAAAGCCTATATGAACTACCACCTATCTACTTCATAAAGATTGTGTTGCAGCGAAACTGCATATGCGCGATGAATTACTCTTGCGGCATCTCTTCCTCAGTGGCGGCGGTAACCATTACTTGCCGTATTGCCTCGGCTTCGCGAGCTCACAATCGGAGTAGTTGGCTCTCCGCTGCCGCTTGGCCTCTGCATCGCGAGCTTGCAACGCAGCGTCTACGACGCAAAAACTTCCACGCGCGTGAGTATACTCGATTTGCTAGCGAGATCACATGCGGTGAGCAAAGCACGTGATTGGCTAACGAGATCACGAGATGTCGTGAATTCGCCTCTAGATTTGAAATTCGCGCGCTTACACCCGATGGGTCCAAAGAAGATCACATGAGTTGTCGACTCGATCATTGGCGTGTACCCGCTACTTGTTTTCTGCGGGCTTTCCACTACTGCTGCTACACAGACTTGGCCTAGACAGCTTCGATCGTAAACCTATTTTGATAAAGCGCAGCAACATGATTCAGCATAGCGTTCACAGCACCTTCTGTGTGGACGACGCCGTAAATGATGTGGCCCCAGAAGATGCCCACCAGAGTGACCATGGCGAAGGAGCAAAATGCGATGATCGAAACGCTCCTGTTCACAAAGCAAGCGTCGAGACAGCGTTATTAACAAAGTGAAAATCAAATTCGCAAACATCATTCATGAGATTGCTGTTGCGTTCACGGTATGACGTATTTATGGTCTCAAAAATGCTGTAGTGCGCGAAGCTCTGAAAAAAAGAAAAAAAGATGCCACGTCATTTATCTCCCAGTTGTTTGTCATGGACACCGCCGGCTACCGAGTCCACAGCCAGGGAAGAAGAAATTCGTCCAAACACTTCAGGATTGACTTGCCTAACCGCAACCTCAGTTTTGGACCTTTCGCGTTGTGTTCAAGTCTGCCATACTGTCAGTCGGCATTGCAACCACTCCGTTTTCGAATCCACAAAGCACTACAGAGTGTTATGAAGTGCAGGGCACGTGGTTGGGTTCTGCATTCCTAGCAGCCGATGCACTAGAACAGCCTCCAGTTCGCCGTGCTTGCTCCGAAGCTGCTCGCCGTCTTTCGCACTGTCGTTGGGTGCAACGCGCTTGAGGTAACCACACTCATCGACAACTGACGCTCTCGTATTCGCACATCATGAAAAATGAAGCGGATAACATACAACCACTCGTTTGTAGCGCGAAGGAAGTCAACAACGACTTTACCAGAGTGACTATCCCAATAGGGTATTGGTCTTGGGGTTGATTCCCGGACCAGGACGAACTTTTTTTGAACTATAAGCTTTTTGTTTCTGAGCAATCCGTGGGGACTTCCTTGTGGCTTTGGGCCACATAGAAGTGGTTGTCGATTGTCCCTTTAACAACTTAACTCCTCCACCATCTTGCGGGATTCCTCAAGGCTCGAGAACATCGCGAGAATTGCTTAGGTGGCCAGATAGTTTTTTTTTATACGACAGCGCGATACCTTAAGGAAGACAAAAAGAAAGATTAAATGGGAAATGTTGCGACTTTCTTTTCTTACACTTCATTTCACTAATAGCACCGATACATTCCACATGAAGGCTGACCTTTTATCTGGATTCCGTGTTGCATTGGGTCTCGTAAAATTTTCACTGCATTTTTGCCACCGTATAATCGAACCGGCTGTGCTTACTGTTTCTTTCTGAGCGTTCTTCCAGGCTGAGGGACGTTGAAGGGCAATCGACGACCGAATGATTCCGACGACCTGAAAGTGGGCCGGCGAACTTCAGTTTCATAGCTTTCTTGAGGCGCGCCAACGCATCGCACATTCTAACGAGCTCAATATAAATAACTGGCGTCCGCATGCACAGTTAGTATGAAAAGCGGAAATTCGGTGATTGTTGGTGACAGGGGCATTCCCTTGTTCTTACCCTTTTGAGACGTTCCTTTGAGAAGGACTCTTTCGTGAGATTCCCGTCTATAAAAGTAACATATAAAGGTTAAGACAATCCACGTACATGTCTCCGTCAAAAGGGCGTACAAACACCTGGCCGCCCGTAACAAGAAAAATATAAGAAATTCAACAGATAATTTAGGCAATCACTCGTTGAATACAAGAACATCGAAAATCTCATACCATTTTGATCGCGCTCCTGGTTTTGTCAAGATTGAAGGCCCCGGGGGACCACTGCATTGTAGCGATGGAAAAGAAACGAATTGGAGAGTTTCTGGAATGCTTTAAAAGTGTGAATTGCTGGGCAAGTTGGTGTGACGTTTCAAGGAAAACGAGCAATAACTTGGCACGCAAAGCAGGGAAAACGTGGACTTGAAAGCGACTTTTGCGTTACTACGTACGTTATTTATTTGTCGTTCTTTGATGAATAATCATTCATATGGTGAACCACTACCTTTACACAATGGTGAGTACGTGCTTGTCATTGAAAATTTCACTTACATTCGGTAAAACTTCATCGTCTCGTCATCTGGTATTACCTCCTGGTCTTCGTCCCTGATAAGAAAAATATTGTATCAGAAAACATGACATTGCATGCTGTATTCAGCGCACGCTCACACAAAACGTACTGAAACGGGAAGGCATGACTGTCAATGTCAAAGTACATAGTCTTTTACGTATACTTCGGCATTACTCTGGCGCACATTGCACGATGGATTGCCGCTTCTCGCTCCAAAAAGCTTGGCTAGGATAAGATATAGAATCGTTAGATCCACCGCTGAGACCACTGGCGAAGTAGAGAGATGGAGTGTTTAACCCCTCTTCCAAATATTCTTCAGTTCTGCTTGTGTATTGTACAACCATGCAAACTCAAGAACGTACGCAAAACAAAGCTAAACGTCCACCACCCACCCCATTGTAAAATATTTTTCGCTACGCTACTGGCCGAGACAGAACGTCATAATATGATTAAAGCCGTATCTCTCACAGCTGTCACGTTTGTACGTGCCTTACGCAATCGCCAGGTGGGCCCACGAATGTGGTCAAGTGCCACCACATTCATGCAGCGATAGTGTAGGAATGTGATCGCACGTGATAAACAACGATATAAACAGCGTGATCAAGTCCGACAGCATGTAATGGTGCAGCGGTGCCACCACATTTGGCAATGTCACTGAAGAAAACATTATATACAAGTTATGGGGCGAGTGTGTACAGTGTCAATTTTTATGAAAGGGAACACGGGAGCGCGTGACCTGCGCGCTTCGGCGGCTGCTGGCAGCACGTTCAAGTGGGAGCCAGAGCAACCACCGTCTCTTTTCGCGTCATCTCGCGGCGAGCAAAACAACCACTCGTTGCTGATATAGAACCAGCGGCAAGATTGCGACCCCCCTCCTCCTTCAAGGCGATTACGTGAGAGCTGGTAACAGCCTATAATATACTGGTGAACAAGAATAAGGAAGAAGAGGAATAATTGTTGCCGCCGGTGTCGTGAGGGCCTCGGCTGTAGCCCATGTTCGCGAGTATCTCCGCTTCGGGAACAGTCACCGAGGCCAGCCGGCCAGGCAGCATCATGTCGCCGCGACATGAGGCACGCTTGCCACGATATCACTGTAAACGTGGTTTTTTTTATTTAAGTATACTGCAGACCTTCTCGGTCCAAGCAGGAGTGGTACATAGGATACACAAACAATGATGTCACGTACAGAAAGGCACCGACACAATCCAAGAAAAGAATAAAAACTATTGAAAAAACTATTGAGTAGGACTTGTTGTTGGGAGAGTTGGTTAACATCGAATGGGTACGTGATAGCGCAAACTTGGAAAAGAAGGGCTCGAGGAAAGAAGTACGAGGTCGCAGAAAGGCCAGTAGGGCGCCTAACTTCGACTGTTAATTTGAAATAACAGGCCCCCCGATTATAACTATATATGCGCACGCCTCCATCAATATCGGCAAACAGTGGTCGCACTCGCATATCGCATGCGCAGATAGTGGGGGCCTGTTCTTTCAGATTAACTTTAGCGTCTGACATTTCTGCTCCCTCCTATACTGATTCTATCGAGTCTTCCTTTCTCAAGTTTGCACTATCATGTACCCCTTTGATCATTGTAAGCGCCACGTATAAATGCCGCCTATGTAAATACCGGGAGCTGGGAGGCGCCATCATAAAGTTGAGTTTACCTTTCCAATAAGAGCACACCTGAGCGTAAACATAGTGACCTTTGATCTGCTGCGAGCAGCGCGCGAGCTTATTGCAATGTTTTGATTACAGGTGCAAACTGCCCTTATACTAATATTGACCTAGACGTTCTTGTGTGGTACAAATGAAGATGTCTAGCAGCAGCAGTTTACTACAACCTCCACCGCCACCACAACTTGCATATATTGTGCTATCTCTGTTTAACCCACAAGTAAACGGTTTTTGTTTAAACATTGCGTGGCAGAGGTGTAACCAGAACTTCATTTTATTGGAAGGTGATGACAGGACGTTCTGCGATCCCCCTCATTTGCGTTCGTTTAAGAATGTGTAAAAAATATAGGGTAGCGGGTTACCAAACTCCCAACGCCCAAATAAACTAGCCCTATATAGTGGCAGTGGTTAAATCAACAGAATGACCTAACTATATCCACATAATTTACATGTAAGGTATAACGTAGCCGCAAAAAACACAAGACCGGTTTGATTGGCGGATCATGGGAGAGGTCTTTGCACTGCAGTGGGCGTAGTCAATGTATACATCTATCGCAACCGTGCATTTGGAACCAGCGCGCAGGCCACGCGTCGCCGTGTTGCCTTTCATAAAAAATTGACACAGTACATAATATACACAGTGCCTCCACGATAGAGGATAGCGAAGAATGTGTGAATATCGGTGTCCACGTGCACCGCCACACATGTAACGTTTGCAGGCTCGCACTTTTTTGTGGCTTCTTATTTCTTTTTTTTATTTTGCTGTAAGTGCTAACACAGCGTGGAATCCCCAATGACCTCGAAGTGCTTGACTATTGGCATATCTTCCACCCGTACACGAAAGCATTATGGTTTGCTTGAAACTGACATAAGTAATTCCGATGGCATGGTGGCCTTGAATGTATTATTGTCGACGGCAATTCCTCCGCGGTGATTGATTGCGCGTTCCCCAAAGGCGACCGATTCTTAGCCCATTACTGCAAACGTGTATATGCACCAACGCGACGGAGACATATATCCATGGCGTACGGAAGTCGAGATCGAGACATGCGGCAGCCTTACGACGTCAGTTGGCATTCACCGTTATTACATCGTACATATTTTTGTGTTTTTTAGGGGGGGGTCTTTTTTTTAATCCTGTACCGCCGACTGTGTTTCGTTGATGATGATGATATGTGGGGTTAACGTCCCAAAACCACTATATGATTATGAGAGACGCCGTAGTGGAGGGCTCCGGAAATTTCGACCACCTGGGGTTCTTTAACGTGCACCCAAATCTGAGCACACAGGCCTACAACATACTGTGTTTCGTTGAATACGTCTACTAATTGTTGCTTAGTCCATTCATTAAGGAGCCCGCTGGACACCCGCTGGACAGAACACAACACCCGCTGGACAGAACACAATCGTTTCTGCAGGTGTAAACTCCCAAGCCTGGCAATCTATATCCCGTTTCCAAACAATGTGT